AATACGTTTAACTTACTATTCTCTATATGGATTTTAGTTTGCTGAATTTAAACCAAAGGTGATGATATTAGAAACATTGTGTTAATTTTAAAAATATTTGTACGTCTCTTTCAAACATTGGTAACAAAACTACACTATTTATATACTAGGAATATACTATGTATATAATATTTATATACTATTTATATACTATTTATATACTATTTATATACTATGTATATACTATTTATATATTATTTACATACTATTTATATACTATTTAGATGCTTTTTATATGCTATTTATATACTGTTTATATACTATTTATATACTATTCATATAATATTTATATAATATGTCTATAATATTTATATAATATTTATATAATATTGATATATTTTTGATATAATAGTGAAATTATATTGATATAATATTGATATAATATTGATATAATATTGTTATAATATTGATATAATATTTATATAATATTTATAAAATATTTATATAATATTTATATAATATTTATATAATATTTTAATACTATTTATATTATATTTATATTATATTTATATTATATTTATATTATATTTATATTATATTTATATCATATTTACCTTATGGTAAGTAAAACATGTATATTTTTAAAAACAAAAATTACAATAATATTTATCGAACGCGGAGTCTAATAATTATTGTTAATATAAGGGCTCCAGGTCAAAAACCCCCTGGACATAAACCCCCTGGACATAAACCCCCCGACATAAACCCCCTGGACAAAAACCCCCCGCGATATAAACCCCCTGGACAAAACCCTCCCAATTGAGGAAAAATCAAAGATGATGAGAAACAAAATTAATAAAAAAAATACAAAACAAACATTAGAAATTTTTTTATTTTTATTATAACTTACGTGTTGCTTCCGTTTCTTCTGCCAGTTGTTTCATCTGCTGCACTACTTTACACACTTCCAGTTGAGATGGATCTGGTCCATGCGAATGTTCATTACATCGTTCAACAAGCTGTTCACCATGAATCTTTATTTTTGCTTTGCATTCTGCCTTGTTGCCTTGTTGCGTCTTTTGGAACACTCAAATGACACAACGCCGTTCGCCAGATCTTTTTGCTTTACATAAACATAGCCTTCAAAAACCACCTTTAAATTTCCTTTATTGGATTGAACGAACTCCATTCCAGAAAATATACGATTGTCGAGAAATAAATTTGTTTTTATATTAATACCATGGTTCTGTATGTCAAGGTGTATATGAACCAAGCTTCCGCCGGTGAATCCCTGACATCTTTTGTTAATTGTTAAGAATGTGTTGCTTTGATCCGCACGGCTCCCACATGTGGATGACCTATATCTAAGGTTTTGTCGGTGTCCGATCTTTGATCAAATACACCTAAGGTCACTCCTTGATTTCGAAAAGCATTTTGTTTAGGTAGAGACTATTTTCTTAGTCGTAAAACATTAATTTAATGTAATTTTTAAAATCTCTTGGTTCACATCATCGTTATTTTTTTTTATATAAACTTCAGTCCGGGGGTTATTATCCGGGGAGTTTATATCGCAGGGGGTTTTTGTACAGGGGGTTTATGTCGCGGGGGGGTTTTGTCCAGGGGGTTTATGTCGCGGGGTGGGGGGTTGTCCAGGGGGTTTATGTCGGAGGGTTTATGTCCAGGGGGTTTTTGTCCAGGGGTTTTTTGACCGGACACCGATATAAGTAGGCTACGTATTCATCCTGTGCTACCAGCTCATTAAATACGTTCGTTTTATTTGGTCTGCGATATGTTTGTTCAAAGAAAAAATAGTAATGTTCTTCTTGTTTTATTATTAATAATTTTGTTTCAATTACAGATATATAACTATACCTATATCACCTTAAAAGTTGTATCAAGATGAAGTTTGCAAAAGTTAACATTGCAGCCATACTGTTTATGTGCATATCATACGCACAGGGTGAGTCTGTTGCGATTGGATCGCATGCAGTTAGAAAAATAGTTGAAATAGTAAAATAAACTGAAACAAACGTAACCAATTCAACGTTCTAGTCTAGCAGTATAAAGAACATCTCGAGATTTGCGAAAATCTCGACGCATTACACCTCCATGAGTTGGAAAAACATAGTTTTGCAATTTTGTCCGTATGTTTGTGTGTTTATGCATGTGTATGTCTGTGATCACGCTTTCCGTTAGAGCTAGGTTTATGAAATTTCATATAAAAGTAAAATATCAAATTTGTAGTTCTGTAACAACTTTTCATCGATTTCCGGAAACCGGAAGTGGAAGTTATTCTTTTTTTAGATTTTCAAAAGCCTACAACTTAAGTAGTGAATAATAGATAAACGGAATTTGAAACATGGTTGAAATATCTAATTCTTTGCCTTCCGTCAAATTTTGAAAAATTTCCGTTGACCGTAAGCTGTACTTTACTAAATTTCAGAATTCATGTCCATATCCCGAGTTGCCATCTCCAGTAGTGTTATATAAGAATTTTCGATACAGTTAGAGGATACCACTTCCACTTTATTTACATTGAGACAGATTTTGGTGTTTGCAATTCTAGATTTCTAGTTATTAAAGGGTTTATTAAGTTCACTAAAATGTTGCGGCACCGCAAATCTTGCAATGTTACTTTAATTCTCTTCTCATTGTCCGATTAGATTTAAATTTTGCACACCTGTAGAGTTTAAGTGACATGCAAGAATATGTAATTTTTATCTAATTTAAAAAAGAAAGATTACTATATTCTAAATAAAAGCTGAGATAACAATACATAATTCTAGAGAAATACTTAAATAATGTTAAGTCTGGCACAAGCAATCGGGGGATTTTTACTGTTAATCTATTTTGTGTCAACCTTGTTTCAAACGAATAACTAACAAGTGAAAAATTATTCTCACTTACAGTGTATATTGTATGGTAAAATGATTTTATTATATTAATTTTAAAAAAGCATAAAAAAGGAACAAAAATATATTAAAGCTTATTTAACCTTCCAAAGCAATATGCTGGTAAAACTAAACATCAAAAGCCTTTCAGCACACTTCCTCTTCTTAATCCCGTTAGTGACCAAGACACATGTGGCAGATGAAGTAGAGTTCATTTGATTTATTGACCTCGGCATTTGAAGGGATAGTGGTGTTAGCACTTTTCCCAGCCGCGATCACTTTGAATCCGGATTCGAACTCGAGATTCACGGCAAGACTTAGCTCTCTAACGCTAAGCCATGTCGTCCCCGAGAGATCTCATGGTAAGAATATATTTGACAGACTTTCTTTACATAACGTACTATATAAGTCCTATGTCTAGTTTTAATTATTGGACGCCCTGACTTTTATTTTTAGTCATACCAGCATACAGCTTTAGTTACGTCATAGCAAAATAATTTTTTAATCCAATTTGTTAGTACATTTTTGCATATGTAATTTTTTTGTTGTTGCTGTAATTTGTGAAGACAATAAACGCTTTGATATTTATTTTTTATTTGTGAAAATTTTAATCATTTTATTCAAGAAGCAGCCACATTTAAAAAAACATTAAAACCAAGTTATTTTTTAAACAAAGTATTACAGACTTACCTTAATAAAATCTTAATAAAATCATATTCTTAAACCTCCATTTTTTTAGAAGATACATGTAGCGTGATTTGCCTATAATAAAATGGTTTATTGTATTGGAAAATTGATTTTGTCTATTGCTGTGTGTCAATTTCTGTTATTTCGGGCGGTACAACGTTATTAAGATAGTCGGTACTTCTGAAAAGCTAAAATAAAATTGACAGTTATCAAATTATCGTAAGGGAAGTTGCTGTTATGAAGTAGAATAAACTCATAGTATCGAGACATAATATACCGACAATAACAATGAATGCTACTTTATTTTAGCCCAGTGTAGCTGCAAGCAAATTACAACGATGGTCAATGGACAAAATGTGTCTACCTGCAAGCCGTTCGAATTGTACTTCACAGCTTCTTCTTCTAAAAGTAATGGTGAGAATATCGATATTTTAAAATTGATAAATTAATCAACATATATGTAAAAATAATTTTAAAAATTAGAGAAGTATTTCGTCCTAATAATAAGAAAATTACCTACTATTTTAAGATTCACAATAATTTAGGCAAATACAATTAATAGCAAACATGACACCTGAAATATATTATCGTAAATTTATTTATAGGAAGTAATATGTATGTTATTAATTACTTTATAAATGCCGCTTACCAATTCCTTTACAAAGGAAACCATAATAATTATAATCACATAGTTTCCCTCATTATACTTTAGGTTAGAAGTAATCAGAATATTTATAATTTGTAATATCAACTTGCAATATACTTCGTGTAAATCAGAATATTTTTTATTTACCAATATCAACTGAGTAGTTGCAGTAAGCTAAGGGAAGTAAAGTTTAATTTAGGAGCTTTAACTCCTAGATCGGTTGGTTTTCCAATGTAAAAACATCGTAAAATTATATGGTAGGACCGTTTATACATGCTTAAGCGATCACACATTATTTCAAGTGGAACAATTTTGCAGATGATCCGGATTATTGTGACTATGAGCTTCTGTTATAAGCTAAAATCGTTTATAGGTAATTTGCTATTGTGTGTTACGGTATCATTGCGATAGTTCTTTCGACGCCCTACTAAAATACAAGTTTTTAGATTTTTAAAAGATTGTTTATGTTTTGCGTATTGTACTAGTCGAAAATTGTGATTGGCCAGCTGGAAATAAGATATTACGTAAACAAGTGTAGAGCACACATTGTTTGATATACATACATGCTTTCTATTGTTCAAATTTTTTCAGACATTGACGAATGCAAAGCTCAGCCAAGTCCATGTGAACAGGTTTGTACGAACACCATTGGAAGCTACACCTGCTCATGTAATGCTGGATATGTCATTAGTAGAAAAGACCATAGGCGGTGTGACGGTAAGTCTCCGAATTAAAACATTTATATTTCCTCAAAAAAATTATACTTTTTCAAATAGGCCTACATATTTAACACGGCTCCATAGTACTTTTTGTCTGAAACTTAACTTCTAGACATCGATGAATGCAGCGCTCAGCCAAGCCCATGTCAACAGATTTGCATCAACACAGTCGGAAGCTTCACTTGTTTATGTAGACCTGGATTCGTCGTAAATACAATGGACCCAACAAAGTGTGATGGTAGGTCATCGAAGAAACGTAACTCAACATTTATTTTTAAAATGTATAATAATTATCGATCTCGTGTTAAAAGGGGAAAATGATAAAGAAAACAAATAGTTTACTGTGTTTTACGTAAGATTGGTATTTATCGGTGAGTATAAGTACACACACACGCCAATATATATATATATATATATATATATATATATATATATATATATATATATATATATATATATATATATATATATATATATATATATATATATATATATATATATATATATATATATATATATATATATATATATATATTTAAATAATATTAATAAAATATTTTTATATTATTTTTATATTTTTATAATATTTTTGTTATATTTAGATACTATTTAGATAATATTTAGATAATATTTATATAATATTTAAATAATATTTATATACTTTATATATACCATTTATATACTATTTATATACTATGTATATACTATTTATATACTATTTATATACTATGTATATACTATTTATATACTATTTATATACTATTTATATAATATTTATATATTATTTATATACTATTTATATACTATTTATATTCTCTTTATATACTATGTATATACTATTTATATACTATTTATATTATACTTATATAATATTTATATAATATTTATAAAATATTTATATAATATTTAGATAATATTTAAATAATATTTAAATAATATTTATATACTTTTTATATACTATTTATATACTATTTATATACTATTTATATCCTATTTATATACTATTTATATACTATTTATATACTATTTATATGCTATTAATATAAAATTTATATACTATTTATAAAATATTAATATATTATTTATATAATAATTATATAATATTTATATAATAGTTAGGCCTATATAATATTGATATAATATTGATAAAGTATTGATATAATATTGATATAATATTGATATAATGTCATGTCATGTTTGTCTGTCGTCCCAACTGGGACATAGGCCGCTGACAAGAGCTTTCCAGACGTCTCTGTCCAGGGCTAGTCTCTCCAACTGTCCCCAGGTGTATCCAATCTTCTTGGTGTCTTCTTCCAGGTCCCGTCTCCAGGTCTTTCTTGGTCTGCCTCTCTTCCTCCTGCCTTGTGGATTCCAGGTGAGGGCCTGTCTTGTTATGCTGGATACAGGCTTCCTGAGTGTGTGGCCATTCCATTTTCATTTTCTCTGGAGGATCTCTACTTCCACTGGCAGTTGATTTGTCCGTTGCCATAGAACATCATTTCTGGTGGTTTTAGGCCAGCGAATTCGAAGGATCTTTCTGAGACATGCGTTTATAAATGATTGTATTTTCTTCTTATTTATAGCAGTTATTCTCCATGTCTCGGCTCCATAGAGTAAAACAGGTTTTACTAGTGTGTCGAAGATCCGGATTTTTTTCTAAGGGTTAAATCTCCCGAACCCCAAACATTTTTTAGTTGGTTGAAGACTGCTCTTGCATTACCCGTCCTTATTTTTATGTCTGCTTCTGTCCCACCCTGCTTATCAACAATACTTCCAAGGTAGGTGAATCTATCCACTTCTTCTAGGGCTTCTTCTGCCAGTGTTATAGGGTTGTTGTTTGATGCATTGACTTTGAGAACTTTACTTTTCCCTCTGTGGATGTTCAGACCCAGGCTTGTAGAAAAATTTGCAACCCAGTTGGTTTTATCCTGCATTTGCTGTTGTGTGTGAGAAAGGAGGGCCAGGTCGTCAGTAAAGTCCAGGTCATCCAGCTGGCTCCACAATGTCGACTGTATACCGTTTCGCGTTTTCTCTGTTGACATCTTCATAACCCAGTCTATGGCCAGTAGGAACAGGAAAGTAGTATATTAGGTCCCTTTTGGGTATCATTTTTGGCGGAGCAGGATGCGGGAAGGGACAATGACATATAGTAAAATACTCGAGAGCAGGATGCGCCGGAGGGACAATGACATATAGCAAAATACTCTATCCCCTGCCGCAGCCTGGCGCATCGCAGGGGAAGCAGGATGCGCCGGCGGGACAACGAGATATAGTAAAATACTACGCCAACTGTGGTTGGCGGAGCAGGAGGGGGGACGTAATCTCCGTTGACCTTGTGACGTAATTACTGACCTTGTGACGTAATCAGTGACATTATGACGTAATCATTGACCTAGTTACGTAATTTTAACGCGTTTTTAATGAGTTTTAATGAGTTTTTTAAATTTTAATTAGTTTTTATTAACGAGTTACGTAATTTGATTATTTGTTTGATTTTTTAAATTCTTTAATTTGTTTGTTTACTTGTTGTTTAATTTAATTACTTTGTTTATATTGTGTAATTTTTATTAACGAATTACGTAGTTTGATTTTAATTTTTTTAATTTTTAAATTTTTAATTTAATTTTATAATTAGTTTAATTATTATTATTAACGAGTTACGTAATTTGATTTTAATTTTTTTAATTTTTTAAATTTTTTAAATTTTTAAATTTTTTAAATTATTATTTTTAAATTTTAAATTGTTTAATTTGATTGTTTACTTGTTGTTTATTTGTTCAAAAATTCATTTTAATTAGTTTGATTTTAATTTCTTTGTTGTATGGTGTTTAAAATAAAAGACTAACACTAGCGTGTACTTTGTATAGGGACCATTCGCCAACACAACGAACGTGTACCGAAAATAGAACATTCATTAAAGATAACGATCAGCGACAGCTGTTACATATCGATCCGCGATCCTTTGGTTTTTTTTAGAAGGCCCGTACAAGGGCTAGCTAATATCGATCGCACCCACGGGGCCATCACACCTAATTAAATTTGGTCACGCATCATGGATTTATGACGAGTTCGCTGAAGCGAACACAGCAGGGGTCCCGCGTTTAATCGAAAGAGCTAAGTGGTTAACCGCAAAGCCACCGTTAAGTGTAGCGACAGATGTTACCACTGTAATGGATTTTTCCCCGATCGGTTTGACAGCTGTGCAACAGCTGGTACCACACTTTCCACTAACACTTAAACGTACAGTGTCATGGGTTTTTAAGTTTCTGGTACGATTATGTTAAACGTATACACACACACACACACACACTAAATTAGAACAAAAGTCTTCTTATATTTTATTTGTTTATTAACGTTTTTCCAATTCATCAAAGGCTTTTAAAATTTCATCCTGTAAACTTAATAGGCGCTCAAAGCAGACGCGACTCATACTAACACCAGAATTTGTAGGAAAATTAAGATCGGTCCCATCTATAAGCTCTCTAAGATTTAAAGTGTTTTTGTTCATGAATTGGCTAACAATCGCCAATTTAAATCCGGTGTGATTCATCGTTCATATTTCCGTCACTTTATTGTTACTCCTTGCCACAAGTATCCAATCTTCATTAGACATCTTGAAATAATCTTTTATAATTAGTTCCAATAATTTGAAGTGTTAAACGTGTTATAATACGATCGTTAATATATTGACGACTCGCTGACCCCGAAAAGGGTTGTAATATAACTTTTAAATTTGCACCTCGAGCTTTCTTCAAAACAAAATAGGCTGCATATAGCCCACAACTGTTGGTTAGAATATCTTGTAACACTCTTGAATTGTAAACGAGTGGTCTGTTTGAATTATTTTTTATAAAAGACCAAATGGCCGGCTCCCGAGGTGGTAATCCAAAACTATCGAAATAAGTAAATTGCGATAGTCCGTTGAAAAATAGACCAACCCAATGACTCCCTGCCTCCGAGGACGAATCTAGATTGATAATGAATGCCGCTTGCTTCGTTCTATCGAGACGCGCGGGCAACTGATCGCACGCTAAAACAGCAAAGAGAGTTGTGCGTTGCACAAGTAAGTCCGCGGCCAGTATACTTTGTAGTTCTCTTAAGTTCATTTTCTTTTATAGGCCAAGTTAGGCGGTGTAATCTGTCAGCACTTGCCTCGTTTTCGAAATTTCTAACACCGAATCAAGTTCAGCATACACAATAACTTGAATCGGGTCAGCTGTAACTTGTGAATAGAAACAGGTCCGGATTTAGCCGATTCAAATTGTTCACCATCCAAAAGACTAGGGCTTAAATCAAAAGCAAACAGGGTATACCCGTTCTTAAAGTTTTTATAATCTATCCCATTACCAGCATCTTTTCCAACCATACCAAGAGCGAGGTTACTATTGAAAAACGCTCTAATGTCTTGTTTCTTATCAAAGTCCATGACCAGTGGTTTTCCCGATAACGAGCGACCATCAACGCTTACATTTAAATACGTCAAGTGAAAATGTTGAAAATTGAAGGGGTTTTTCGTGTAACTTCCATTAAAGGCAGTAGAGGCGACTAGACCGATCACTAAACGGGTCGGTGTTTGACTCATATACAAATTGTCTTGGTTGTGACTTAACATACCTTTCGGTATAGCAAAGGTTTTTATTACAACGCGTTTAAAAGGGTATTTTGCATTTGTTGTCGTTAAAGCCTTTTCGTGTGCGATAGAAATGGCGGGGTTAAGTCTGGCTTTTCTAACTACCAATGTTGCGTACGTTATAACCGCTTTATACCCCTTGTTTGGTTCTGCTGTCAAGAGAGTGAAACTGTCTTTTGCGGGTGTAAGTTTAATTTTAATGTCAACACCATTCAGCATATACCGATCTTGAGCGAAAATGTCAGAGTGTATACGTCCCATCATATCGATCTCATGACTTTCAGCAGCGGTGGTGCGGCGAATCCTATACCCTTCATTATTGTCATCTTTGAATTCCTCGAAATAACAGGCTAAGTCCCTCGCATAAAGAGCGGCCGATAGAGACCCATTCTTGGCCTCTTCCCCGTGATTTAACGTAGCTTCCAGATAGGCGCGATACGGATAGGTGTTCTCACTAGCAGTAATTAGCGTATCGTTTAGAGAAATATCCACTTGTGAAAATAAACTGTGCAAAAAATAATTGACGGGTGCGACATCAACGTCAGGCGGTATTGAATCACCATTTGCTAAAGTCACTTTAGCGCGCACGTGTAAATAAGTATTAAACA